ATGTAAAATAAGAAAATGATAGAAATAAAAGGAAAAAATAGACAACTCCACAAATATGGTGGTGGGGCCGGCAGGTAGCATGGTGGTTGGGGCACTGGACTCCCACATGGCTGACCATGGTTCAAGTCCTGGACCTGGCAGCTTGCTTTCTTGCTTTCCTTCTTTCTCTCTCTTTCTCTCCTTCACTCTGTCCCTCTCTGGTCAGATTAAAATAAATAAATAAATAAAGTTAAATAAAATAATTAAAAAAAAATATGGTGGGAAACTTTGACATAATTCTCTTGGTAAATGATAGAATATCAGAAAAATCAGTAAGAACACAGAATATTTGGAGAATGCAATGTAGAATATAGAATATTGTGACTTATAAATATTATATATCACTCCAAAATTTGAATACTACACATTTAAAAACAAACAAAAAAAAACGCAAAACACTTACAAAACTTGATTTGTATAAGGGGTCAACAAAGCTCATGGAAAATGTATATTATGAAAAAGTTATACATGAATTACAAAATTTTTTACACCAAAATAAATTTATACTTTAATTCAATTTTTCCACAGACTTTTAAAAATCCCCTTCTATACTAGTCAATAAATCAAATTTCAACAAATTTCAAAAGATTGAAATTATAAAATACACACTCATACCATAGTAGAATTAAATTAGAGGTTAATAATAAAACAGAGAACTACTTAAATATTACAAAGTCAAACAATTCACTGCAAAATAAACATAGGACAAGGAGGATATTTTAGTGGAAATTAAATATTTTTTGAACAAAATTATTATAGCAATATAGCATATCAAAATATGCATATTGTAAATACAGTCACACATCGACAAACATCTATAACATAAATACATATATTATACAAGAAAAAAGATTTAGAAATCAAAGATCTAAGTATTTATACATGAAGTTTTTAAAAAGGAAGTTAAATTTTAAAAGGTAGAATAAAAAAAATTCAAAAGAGCAGAAATTGAAAATACAGGAGAGAAAGTCATTATTCCAAAAGATTATTTGAAAAGGCTAATTCTACTGATTAATCCCTACAGAGAATGATGAAGAATAAAAAAAAAAAGAAGAAGAAAAAGAAAACACAATTACCAATATTAGGAATAAATATGAAACCATCATTACAGATTTCACAGATATTAAAAAAATGAGGACATTATGAGTAATGTTATATAAATAGATTTGGCAATGTAGATGAATAAATTCCTATAAATAATATAAAAGAAAGTTTATGAAAACTTTCATATCACTTTTTTAAAAAATCAAACTGTAATGAAAACTCCTTACAGAGAAAACTCCAAGCCCAATAGCTTTACCAGTAAAATCTTCCAAGTATTTTAGGAGGAAATCATATTGATTTCACACAACACTCTTCGGAATGAAGGAGAGCACTTTTTTATGAGACCGACATAATTTTGATGCTAAAATTTATCAAGAAAAGTGTACATCCATCTTTCTCATGGACACAAATGTTAAAAACCAAAACTGAGGTATAAGTCAAATAAGATCATGTATAAGAAGGGAAAAAGGTACCATGGCCAAGCTGGAATACAGAGCTGAGTTTACATTTGTAATCAGCAAAGTTTTTGATGCTTGACGATGAAAAAGAAGAACATATTAAATGATTGTATCAAAAGATGGAAAAAAAGATACTTCTAAAACTCAACATTCCTTACTTAGAAAAAAAAAGAAAAACTTAGAAAAATAGGAACAGGAAGAAATTTACTTAATTTGATGAAGAGCTTCTAAAAAGGCCTTAGAGAAAATATAATATTTAATGGTAAAATATTAAGAGCTCTTTTTGTGCGCTGAAGACGAGGATGTCTGATACTATCACCACTTCTACTCAGCATCAGGTTGGATATCCAAGCCAGCGTAATAAGTTAGGAGAAAAAAATCCTTAAGTATTAAAAAATAATAAATAAAACTACCATTCACAGACAATATGATTGTATATGCATAAAAACTAAAAGAACCTAAAGATAAGCTATTCAGATTGATAAATAAATTTAGCAATTTTAGTAGATTAAAGGTCAATATACAAAAAAATTGTATTTTTATATGCCAACACATATTTAGAAAAAAAATTTACAGTGTCACTTACAATCTTATGAAAAGCATATCAAATGGCTAGAAATAAACTTAACAAAAGATTTATTTTCTACAGACAAAACTACATAAAATTACCGACAGAACTTCACACTGACTTGAATAAATGGCATAGTCCATGTTTATAGATTAGAAGACTCAATCCATATTAATTTACACAAATTCACTTATAAATCTAATCCACTCCCCATTACTGAAAATCCAGCAGGTATTTTTGGAGTAGAGGAGAGCAAAAATTGGCAGGTTGATTTTTAAACGAACAAAAAAAATACAAAGAACCAAAAATAGAACAATTCTGAAGAAAAACAAATAAGTGTCTGACATAAATTACTAGATAATAAGTAATAAAGTAATAATAATTACATCAATGTGGAATTGGCATGATGATAGCCAGAAATAAGTTTCCAGAAACAGACCCATGTGGCTTCTGTTTTATGACAAAGGTGAAATTGCATTGTATTGGGAAAAATAATTTTCAAGAAATAAGGTTGGATAAATTGGCTATCTATTTATCTATGAAATACTTCAGAAAGTTTGTGTAAAATGAAATTAAAGTACAAGTTTATTTTGATGCAAAAACATTTCGAAACTCCAAATTTTTTAATAGTAATTCATGTTCTATGAACTTTTTGACAACTCCTTGAATGAACAATAAAAGTGAATATAAACACTAATATACTATGTATAATATTCAACTGCAACTATATTACAGATAGAAAATAAGTAATAAAATTAATAAAATTTCTAGAACATCACCTAGAAGGATATCTTTATGACCTTAAAGTACACAAAAATTTTTAGAAGGGGTGCAGAAATATTTATCCATAAAGGAAAAGATTGACAAATTAGACCAAAGTTAGAATAGTTGTTCACCAAAAGGTATTATCAATGGGCAGAAAAACAAGCCAGGGATTGGGGCAAGTCATTTACAATACATATATCCAATAAGCATCCATAGCTAGAATTTACAACGGCCTTTTATGTTACTTCCAATGTTAAAGCAATAATGAATGATGCTACAATAACCATCCTTATTAAAGAATAAATAACCATTCTTACTAAAGCTATCTTTGCAGTGTTTCCTTAAGGTAATTTCCCAGCAGCAGGGGAGTCAAGGGTATATGATTTTTAAAAAGTTTTAAATAAACATTTCACATACCAAAAAAAAAGGGGGCATCTAAATCTTTAATTAGAATATGAAAAGATGCTCCATCTCATAATTCACCAAGAATATGAAAATTAAAGCCACGCTCCTGGGAAAGACCTAACCCTTGCAAGATGACAATACTTGCAAGGATTTTAGACCAATGAGCACTTTCACCCATGGGCAGATGGAGTGTGAACCGGCATGACCACCTCACAAAATAATTTGTAGCACTTTCTAAACTGATTGTATGCTTACCTTATAAGCCAGGAATTCCATTCCAAGGTATATCCAATAGACATGTGAGAGGTCTTCAAAAAGTTGAAAAAAAAATAGTATTGTAAAAAACTACACATGGATTTTAAAAAGTGCTTGTACTAAAACAAACTTGTACTTGGGTTGCATCTGTCCATGAACTTTTTGAAGTCCCTTGAATACAAAAATACTCAAGACAGTGCTATTTTAGTCCCAAAGCACACAGAGACTCTGCTCCCCCCACCCCCCAGGCATCTTCCTTCTGGACTGAGATCAATCCATCTCTGTTTACCCCTGTATGTTTTTCTCGTCTCAAAATACAGTAGGTTGGCTATGACACAATATACCTAAGATGACGTTCACTTACTGTAGAGATGAAATTAAATGCCCCCGTAGAAAGACCCAGTATGAGCCCAGAGAGAAAGGATTTGAAAGAAAGAACCCGTCACTCCTCATGACAGCTAATGTCCTAGGGATTTTTGTTGACAGCCGTAGGCACAATGAAAAGTTGACTTTAAAAAAATTATGAAAGCAGTACATTAACATGGCAATTTTTAGGAAAAAAGTATAGAAAGATACAAAGTGAAATGTCTCCTTCCCACTTCTAGTTCCTCACAAATAACTCACCATTTTTGCGTGTGTTTTCCGGGGGGGGGGGG